ATTTACGAATACCAAAAATATTGTAGTACTAAACTGTCACTGAACATCAATAAATTACTAAACAAATAATGATATTTCACAAAAAACTAGACGACTATGTTTTTTATAAATGTAGATAAGAAATAATTTCTTTCATATTCTGTCTGCTAGACCACAAGTACCAAACATGTTTGGAAACAGCTCATTTTTATTACTCTAAACATGTAGCAAACTACGGGGTGTTACATTTAAACCAATTGCCGCTAGACAATAAGTATTTTTGATAATATTGTTAACTTACCTAATAAAGAATGTTACGCGTTACTTTATTAGCACACACACAACTACTGTATTTTTGTCCACCCTGTACCAATTGGAATCAACATGTGATACATTTTTGGAATCAGCTCAGCTAGAGTAATCCGAAAATTGAGACAAAGTGGTGGTGTTCCATTTAAAAAAAATGACGATGACGTCATTACTCGAACGTATTTCACCCTGTATATTAGATTATTATTTTAAAATACGGTAAATTACCTAACATCAAAAATCGACGTGTTTCAGGATTATTTCTTAAAATGACCTGTTTAGCTGAAAATGAATTTGTTCCATACTTTACGGACACAGAGTATACTCATGGTGTATACGCCCACACACAAGCAGTACCTACTGCTTCTGTGGTATATTCTTTTTTAATCACAATAATGCTGCATTTGTTGAATTATATTCTGTAATTATTTTTCTTGTGTGATTGAAAAAATATATATTATTGTATATCGTTTATTACTTGTTGTGACATGTGGTCAAAACCACAACTCTCATTTCGATATTAATACTCCACTTCATGTCTCGTGAACAGTTTTGAAGATCATTCGCGTTGACAATATAAATAATCATCAGGTTTTTTCAGTTTTTGAACATTTTAGTTCTCCCTGAAGAATATAGTAAATATTGTCGCATATCGAAAATATATTATTATAAAACAACATGTTTCTGGATTATTGTTTTACCCAAAAATGCTCAACACTTGTATATGCATATGTGACACATGAAGTTCGCGACATATGGAAATGTTTTTTATTATTAGACATATTGAAAATTCTCAAGGAATACGAGTTTAATAAGAATGAAAAGAAATAAGTGTTTTCGATTACTGACATACTAACGTCCATACATTGAAAATCCGAATCAGTTTGACAATGAAATGAAAAAACGAGATGAACTTTGCAACCACAAAGACGAATTTCTGGAGGTGTATTTATTCATTTCTTATTTTTTTATTTTCTTTTCTTCTTGATAACTTTTAATTTCTTCTTATAAAATTATTGAAGAATTTAATAATTAATCATCTCCGCAACAGGCTGTGAACTGATAAACTGATTAGGTAGGAAAATCATGATTTTCATAAGACGAAACAAAGAAAAACATTTGTTTCCACAAACAAGTTCCATGTGAACCTAAGTGGCAATCGTTTTTATTTGTTTACTATATATAAATATACTTAGGATACCTTTATACTTTTCAATAATCAATGTAATAATTCTATGAAGATTTGGCAAATAAATATTATTATTATCCGAAATATGCGCTGATCAGGCCCTATCCCCCGTAGCTCCGATACATTCGGGAGGTCGCGTCAGCATTATCAACCAACGCCCAGTCCCTAAACCGTGGGGTAAGTGATCATTGGGCTCGAAAATCATGTGCCCTGAGCCTTCTGCATCTTTCCGGCTAAGATTTCTGCCTTAGTGCGGCAAGCCGGTATGATTTCAGGATTCTAGAGTAGAGAGGGTAACATTCCATCACGGACTCCAATAATCAGAAAGACCATCTTGACAGAGTGATCTGTGGATTTCGAAAAGAAAATCTCGATATTTCATCCGTTTTTCCTCCTCTTTTCGGACGATATTCGTCTCGCCAGGAGCTGAAAACTCCACGACAAATATCGTCTTGCTCTGGTGGTCGAGAAGGACTACATCAGGCTTATTAGATTGTATGAGCCTGAGGGTGGGGAACGAATACTATTATTTTTTTATACCGAAGTATGCGCTGGTCAGGACCTATCCCCCGAAGCCCCGATACATTCGGGAGGGCGCGTCAGCATTATCAACCAACGACAACTCCCCACACCTTGGGGTAAGTGATCGTTGGGTGTAATTATTATTATTTTTCTGGTAACAGGCTAATGCGGGTATTTTTTGGTATTGAAGTCTCGTATTCATCAAAATTATGGAATTTGAATCATATTTCGTTCGAATCTATGGAGCGAAAGATTCGAAAAATTAAAAAAAAAATTGGAAAAAGACGAAGTGTCAGTAGAGAGTCCAAATTTTGAACAAGGGTATAAAATTGGAAACAGCAACTTTTTTCTAGCATTTCCGAAAAAAAACTGATGTTTTGAGAATTTTCGAGATGTCAAATTTGATAGGTTTAGAGTAGCACATGACAAAAGGAAAGAGACTGTTTCTCCCTCATTTTTCAAGCACAAACTAACTGCGAATTCAGCAAATTCAGCAAATCATATCTATTAATAAGAAAACTTCCATATGTCGCCAACTGTATGTGTACCACTGAAGATTGTTAATGCAGTAACGGATTATTATAATGAAAAATAAGAAATAAAACTTTCGATGTTTTCATACCACTTGTATTTGTTACTGCAGTTTCGTTCTATCAGGACATTTTCAAACGAATACAATAAATGTTATCTACAACAACTTTGAAAAGTAGGTATATGAGTTTAGGCAGCAAGTTGGTCACTTTTAAAATTATTTTATAATCTTTCTATATAATCTATATAATCTTTCTATATTATGAAACATTGAAATAGACATACCGCTGCGGTGTTCAACAGAAAATCAAATGGTCCAGAATTTGTTTTACTGTGCGTTAGAGTTACTGTGCAATATTGTCCGTTTATCAATGTGTCATTTTTTTGTTCCCTTATCTCCAGACACTGATCGAAATTTCCTGTCATGTAAATGTGTCCTGCTAGGATACCACTGGCAACTTTTCCTGAAGAGTCGACCACTGAAATAAACAATGAATTCAATTATCAACTACTCATTCGAGTGGGAGAGAAATCCAATAATTTTTTTGTTCCTTTCCATAAAGAAAAAAGAAACATTATTATCAAAAAAAAATGTGGAACTCCCCTCGCCATTTTAACATCAATGTGTTACCTACTGTCACTATAGTTGTTTTATAATCGATAATAGATTCAGCTTTCATAGCTGTATTGATAATTTACTTCTCCCATAATATACTATTTACAAAATAGTTTATTACGTACAACAAATATCTGCATGGTATCAAATTCATTAACGCTTCAACTTTTTCGTCGGTAGTAATTTCCTGAATAACCACAATTTGTTTTCGAATGTTTTTCATAGAGAATACAGTTTATTGACTTATTGTACTGAAATATGGGGTGGCATGTTCAATAATTTCCTAAATCGACTACAGACAACCCAAAATACATGTTTAAATATTTCATTTGAAAAAATAGACTACTCTTTTTCGAAAAAGTGTATGAGAATTTGAAACTTCTCAATGTTCATTTATTTATTTATGTATCCATTTATGTATTTATTTATTTATACACCGTTTTACACAGCTTACACCCAACTACAGAACAGGTATATAATTCAAATCACAATACAATATAATTACTATGAGTTATAAGATAGAAACAATACATATAGAATTAGCTGGAGTAAAAAGACCTAATCTCAGAGATGGAACAGTAAAAAATGTCGACCTGACAACTTGCAGAATTGCATTTGACACACATGTTATGCAGAATATTTGTACGTGGTGTTGGCAGACAAAAAGTATCAACCACTCTAGAGGTTGGTCTAAATACATTGAAATTCAGTTTTTGCAGAATGTGTGGGTCAATAATTATATTATTAATCAGTTTAAAAAGAAAAATTGTAGAGTGACAATCACGACGGCAACTCAAGCTATTCATATCATGTCTAGCTAACAATGCATCATGGGGAAATCCAATTGGTGGATAGATATTGTCTGATCTATAGGAGAGAAGTTTTAGGAAACGACGTTGTACTGATCCAACTTTCTCTGTATGCAACTGATGAAATGGATTCCAGATTATGGATTCATACTCTTATTTCAATTATAATCTGACGAAATCTGTCAACCACCTTCATACAAACATAGTATAAGGTATTCGATGTAGATGGATCCGAGAAATCTCTGGAATCCGTACATTTTTTTTTGCAGCAGACAGAATGACTTCAATGTGTAGTACGAAGGAGAGTTTTGTGTCGAAGGTAACACCTAGATCGATGAATGTGAGAGGCCGTTGAAGTGAATTTCGTTTATCAAATATTGATATGAAAATGGACGATTTTTTTGTGAACGTCATTACATTACATTTACTCGCGTTTAAAGGAAGATTATTGCGATAACACCATTGCTCAACAAGTATCACATTAATTTGAGCATGCACAGTCAAGAAATCAAATGATATATCTCTCTTCAACAAAACTCACACTCAAAGGTTTCTGTTTAACTATCGTCCGAAGATTCATAATATTCTACCTTAAAACATTTCGCGATTTCCGAGTGTTTTTTCCAGCGCGGTTTCCGAGCGGTTTTTTATTTTTATGACACCCCAACATTTAAATGGAACATGACAGTGGTAATTTTTTACAGCCGACTGGTCGTCAGATTCTGAGCGACAATCAGAGGGCAAGGGCGACCAAGTAGATGGAGAACCCAGGTAAACGAATGGGACCCGACAGTGTTGACTATTTTCTATCGGTTTTTCAAATGCGATTCCAGCGTGGAAGTGAAAACTTCTATTCGTAGCGTAGTAAATCACCCTTGTTTGTGGGACAAAAGCGAGTATACTACAAGGATGTATTTTGTTTTTATGGTGCAATCGTTCTGTAGCAAAGATCGAACAATTGTCACAAGTTCATCGAACCACTTTATGGACATTCGGTTATAGGTGTAAAACTTGCCTGCATCTTCTCTAATTTTTTATATAAAACAGAAAACCCATCCACCCGGTTCCGTTTTCGCCTTGGGTGGCGTATTCCAGCAAGAGCGCCTTCTGCTTCCAAGGGATACCACAATTTGATGGTAAAACATCGCAGCAGCAGCAGCAGCAGACTCAATAGTGGTTGCTTTGAAGGCGCGAACGATACTAGAGGACGACAAGGGAATATGTTCCCTTCAGTCAGAAACCCGAACTGCCAGAAAATCACTCGGAAATCGCAGACACTGTCAATGTACTCGATTACTTTGAATATCCATTTTGTGTTTTGTTGAATGAATATTCTATTCATCAGCATAAAAATATCATTATATTGAGCATCATAGCATTATAATTTTTTCTTTCAGTATTATTTTAGCAGCGTACCGCTCAGTACGATAGTTATTCAAGCGATACTTCATTGTGAGATTTTCACTAGAAAGTTCACAGAACAGCAACACGTGTTTCGTTATACAATAGTTTCATCGAGCGTTTCCATTACAGTGCGATTGTAATAGTGATTTTTTTCAAATATATAATACGAGTATGCATTACAAATTTAAATAATGTAGCATATGAATCTTTTTCACAGCACTTGGAAAAATTGTCATCAATATATGAAAAAAACATCAAAACAGATATGTAAAAATTGAATATAAGAAAAAACGGTTTGCTCAAAACGCAATGTTGGTGTCTAGCATTCAGGCATCTTATGAAATGAAAATTGATTTGATATTTGTGTTTTTCTGAGAATTCTACACTGATTTGTTACTTCCTAAGGGTAGTATTTTCCTCAGAATACCAAATTATACATTGATATAAGACTATTTTTATATTTTGTGTAGTTATGATGATCTAGTAGTGTTATATCACAAGGATTGTAATATACTCAATATTGGTGGCATCAAGAGTATGAACAACTAGCGAGTCGCCCCGGCTCCGCACGGGTGTAATGCTGACACTAAATATAAAATCACCCACCGGAAATTTGTGACCATGGAGAAGCAGTTATGAAAAGATAATTTTGTTTTATGGGCGTGCCTTTTTCCGGCGGCAGACGCCCCAGTTGGAATATTTGAAAATTGTTTCAAATTCGATGGAACGATCAATATAAATCAATGTTTGAAGATGATTTCATGCAAATCTTGTCCGCGGCTCCGGTTCAGATAGCCCATGCGCAAGGTCCAATTTTGGCACACTCTCTCTAACATATCGACCGGTATTTCACGTATAAATGCTTCAATATTGGCTTCCAGAGCGTCGTTGCTGGTTTATCCCTGTAGACATGAGCTTTAACATGATCCCACAAGAAATGATCCTAAGGCGTTAAATCACACGATTTAGGCGCCAATTAACGGGCCCCAAACGTGAGATGAACTGTTCACCGAAGGCGGCTCTTAATTGGTCCATTGTTTCGCGTGTGGCAGCATCTTGTTGAAACCACATGTCAGGCATGTCCAATTCTTTCATTTTGGGCAACAAAAACTCGTCAGTCATCACACGGTAGTGCTCGCCATTCACAGTAACGTTCCGGCCATTGTCATCTTTGAAGAAGTACGGCCCGATGATGCCACCGACTCATAATCCACACCAAACAGTGACTTTTTCGGGATGCATCGGTAGCTCTTGCAATGCTTGTGACAGATGAGGCAATGCTGCTTGTTAACGTATCCATTCAACCAGAAATGAGCCTCGTCGCTGAACACAATTTTTCGATAAAAATGTGAATCTTCCTCCAACATTGCCAGCGCCCATTCACCAACTGTTAGACGTTGTGGGAGGTCGTGTGGCTTCAATTCTTGCACCAACTATTTTACACCCAAATCCATTCGCAAATTTTTTCACGTAGTGGAGTAACAGAGGCCCAATTGCTGCGAACGGCGGCGAATCGACATTTGACGGTCATCACGAACACTGGCGGATACAGCAGCAATATTTTCTTTGGTCCTCACTCTACGTATGCGTGTTGGTGGTTCAATGTCCAATAATGTAAACTGGGTTCGAAATTTAGTCACAAGCTTCCGAATAGCTCCCTCAATAGGCCGGCGAAACTGCCCATAAATTAGAAGAAGTGCACGATGCACTTTCTTCACTGAGCATGAATTTTGATAATAAAATTCAATAATTTGCAAGCGTTGTTCATTCGTAAGTCGATTCATGGTTAAATTATAGACCAAATTGAACAAGTTTGACAATGACTCAAGACACGACTCACGCGTGATCTGTCAAAAACAGTGTTGCCAAGAAGATACCAGCAAATATGACAAATTTCAGCTTTCTAGGATTTACCATTATAGAGAAACAGAGATGAATGACGATTTTCGTCTAATACACGATGTGAGTGGTCTTAATTTGATAATCGAGGAGATAGAAAGCTTATTGGCTTTTATATGATGAGAATGGAAAATTAGAATTTTATTAAATTCGACACATCCAGTGGCTCTGAAATGGGCATTTTGTACCTGCTAAATGCCGACTTTCGAAAAAACAGGCTAATTTCGATATACCAAATACTCACCAAATTATTCTGCAAATATATGAAACATACAATTCACTCATAGACGGAATACTTATTTTTTCAAATGAGATATCAATAGTTATTGATAAAAACTTCGTTTTACTAAGACATCCTGTATATTTTTGCATATTTCGATAGAGCTTATAACCACTTTTCCAAAAGTGTAGCATAGTTGATGTTTTGCTAGAGTCATCTTGGAAATACAGAGCTTTGGGGTTTTTTTCATGTATAGACTTTGAAATGCACACTTTGATCAAGTAGGCTTTGGACAATGCGGCTATAAAACAGAATGCAAATACTGGTGACTGTCAAATTTTGATTGAGGCTCTTCAGTTGATGGTTTTTGTTAAATTTTCAAACACATTCGAAATGAAGTAAGCATAAGAATTATAAAAAATGGGATATGATAGTCTGTTTTATACCGGAGAAAATGTAGAAGCAGCAAGCAATTTGTATCACGAAAGTTATCCAGAGAGAAGACAACCTTTTATGGTGGTCCAACCTAAT